TGTTATGATTAAAATGAAAGATATTGGTGTCACACTCAAAGCATGAAGGGGAAGATTTGGGCATAGCCCAAGTCCCAAGGATCCTATTTCTCTCTCTTTCTCTTTGTCTCTCCGTTTTTCTCTTTTCACTTCCTACACTTCTATTTTGTGCTCTGTCTATCTTGTTTCCTCATGCACACAAAAACTTGTCTTTTTTGGTCCTGTTAGAGTAGCCAGGCTTCTAGTCAATAAATGGAACCCTAGAATCTGACAAATCCCGAAAATGGAGCATGGAAAGGTCATTCCCCAATGGAAGCATGTCCCCTCTGGTAAAGGAAATCGGAGACATTGTTGCTCCCCTCTCCATACCCAACTCCTCTTTTTTCTCATGAAGAATGTGATATGCATTTTACTATTCCCGCTCTTTCAGGGCTCTAGAAGCAGACTACTCCTTTTTGGGCTTCCACATGGCCCACTGCTTTTATGACCATTTGGAACCCTAAATTAAACAACCCCATCCTTCTTCTTTTTTCCCCTATGCCTTTTTGCCCCTTCTGTTTCAATTCCTTGCATGAATTTGGCATTCTTGCTTAAACATTATCCTTCAGATTTTAATCAGATGATAAGTGTTTATGGTTACTAAATGTGTGGAAAAAGTGGTTAAAAAAACAAGTGTGATTATGATTGTGATTAAAGCAACTTGGTTTTTCTGTGGATTATTATTATAGGGCAAGGCTGGCACACACAACACAGAGCCCCTTTAACAATCCACCTTCAGGGGCATCTTTGCTGGAAAGATGTAAACACACAACAAGGGAGTAGTCTGGACTTTTTAATAGTCAAACTTGATGGGTCATATTCTCCGTGCACTAAATATTGTAACTATAATGACATTTTTTCTTTTTTTGGGTGGTTTTACTGTATGTTCAACATTCTCAGATATGTCTGAATTTGGTTCAAAAGTTATGTGATTAGTGTCAAAATCATGTAACATGTGGTGTTTATTCATTCTACAATCAATGAAATTGCAAAAAATACGTTCACATAAATAAACAAAACAGGTAAGTAATTAGAGGGTCTTTCAGTACACAGGCTCAGTATGAGAGGGGCTCTTCCAACAAACAAGCAGATCATGGGCATTAGGGAACCTGTTCCCAGTCTGTAAGAAACATATGTGCTCAGTAGATGCTCTAAAAAATTGGCCTTTTAACTCCAATTTCTTCAAGCAAACTTTAGCAGATGAATGGCAGCCATTTGCCAAGTTGAAACATGTATTCTAATGAACAAAGCTACTCACAGTCATCTTTATCTTCTTCTTTTCTTTCCATATTATTTTAGTTTATTTCCTCTTTCCTTCTGAACTTGTGTAGTGAAACTAATCATATGGAAAAAAATAAAAATAATAAAACAGAAAAAATGTCACTCTGAACATGATGTTGAAGAGGAATTGCACCCACAAAAAGTCAATTGATATATAGTAAAAATGAGGAAAACTGTGGACAAATGTTTTTATAACATGGGGTTACAAAGCTCTCAGGGGCATAATCAAATCTATTGAGAATATTTTTGGTGGTTTGAAATAGAATATGAGAATATATGTTATTAAAATTGTGGGAATATTCTCCAAGACTGAAGATTGTTTATTGCCAAATAAATTTGGTTATTGGCAGTGTCAATGAATATTCTTTGAAAAAGAGTCGTATACACACACACATACATACATATTAAAAGGATCATAACCACGTTATAAAACCATCACCTCAAGCCTAAAGAATAAAATGTAAAAAACACACAAATAAGATGTGATTGCTTTTGTAAGTGTATATCTTAGATTTGCTTAAAACAAGTTGTAATTTATTCAAGTTAAAGCTTGTGTTTAATTTTTCAATGATTTTATCAAAATTTTAAATTACTATCACAATCAGTAATATCATTTTTTTCTTCTAAAATATTAATACAAGCTTTCATCAGCTCTTGTCCAATTTCGATCTCCTTCGCCAAGTCATCAGATTTTAGTTCCAATTAAGAGAAATCACAGTCAAAACGGATGTTATCCACGCCATCAACGAATGAAAAAACTTACACTGAGATGACATCAGCAGTATTTATGATCCATCCACGTCAGCTGCATGTAGACACGTGGCCCATGAGGATTGACAGGAGATTGAGACAACAACAAAAAAGTACCACAGACCATCTTAATTTACATTTTTTGCATTTCTCCCTTTATTTCTTTTTGCTTGTGCACTTCTTTTTCCTCTTTCTCGTTTCTATATTAATCCATATTATGTTTTTGGCGGTTTTGGATGGATGGGAATATTTAAACAACAAGTTCACTGCTAGGTTATCCTCTGACACCCAACATGAAGCTTTCTTCACCTCCAGCATTGACACCTACAACTTACCCATTCTACAGCAAAATGAGTCTCTGTGCTACAGAATCCAATCAAAGTAGTAGTAGTAGTAGGAATAGTTGTAGTTGTAGGATATTGACTTAGTAACAGTGGCTGTGCAAGTACACTGCTAACACAAGCAACCCATGCTTGCAGCAAAAGGCCAAAGAAGGTTTTTCTAAACTGGGTGCCACCTCAGCAGCACCCACATAAGAAACCCCTTATTTATGTATACTTTTTCAAACTCATTGCTCATCCTACTAAACTAATGAAATGCTTTGCTTGTACGTTCAGTTTTTCTTTGTTTTTGCAGCCAGGTCCCACTTTGCAATGTAAAGTTGACTGCCTACTTTTGTAATTACTTTTTGATTATTTTTTGATAAAGAACTTTTTGTTTATGAGCATTGATGGAATGGATTGAACCAAAGCATGCTGGTAAACACATCAGTTTTTATGTCATGATTGAAAAACCCAACAATGTGCAGCAACTTCTATCCATTGTTCATGTGGTGGATTTTTAAAATGAGAATTATTAGGTTATAGAATCTTGGAAATTTGCTTCCTCACAAGAGTAGTGGAATAGCACAAATCCATAGTAAACTATTGTGCCCAAGTACTGGAAATCAACCAATTTTTTAAACACATACTATTTGCATGTCAACTTTTGGGTCCTGCCAACTTTGTGATGTTTTTATAAGTGCATATATTGGACAAAAAAATAAAAATGGTAATTAAAAGCTGTATTAATGATATAACTTTCAGTTGAAGTGACTACAAAATACCCATGATGCAGAGCAGACATTTTGCTTAATCTGGAAATCTTATATATATATATATATATCTATATATATATATATATGTGTGATAACCCAAGAAGTTTGAAGCATCTTTATTTAGAAAACAGGTGTGGCTTTTTGCCCTACATTTCCACCAAAAGTAAATAAATAAATAAATGTTATTATTGTTATTACAATTATTTGAAGTAAAAGTTGTGAATAGACCTTCTTCCTACATTATGCAACTCCTTGTGCAATCCATGACCGCTGGGACAGGCATTTGAATGGAAAAACCATGCCCAATCACATGAAGCTTATTTTCATTGATCTTTTTGCAATGAATATACAACCTTAATTGTCTTGTGCTGCTTGCCCAATTCACTGACCCCACACTCATGCAGAAAAATGGGTTGTGGATGAAAGTGGATGAGGAATATCTCTATTCACATACTTACACAAACACACATACACACACACAAACACATGCTTTTGAAGGCCTTCTAGACTAAACTAGAAATCCAAAAAGTCCCTATCCTTCAACTTTCTCCTTTGACTCCCACTCCTCCAAAAATAGGATAAAGCTATGTGCCACAACAAGAAGCATATGATGGCATTGCTTTATATGAAATGGATTTTATTCTTTCTTCACAAGGAAGACGAGAGCCTGAATTAATGTGAGGAACAGAACAGGTAGGATTGCTTAGTCTTTGTAAGCCACCACACCATACATCCTCAAGCAACCTGTGGCACTGAACTAAATACCAAAAGAATAGAAGGAAAAGGAAAAATGGAAAAAAGGACAGTAGCTTTGGAATGAAGTTGTCAGCAGTCAGAAAACTTTTACTGGAAGCTTCATTGTTCATGGTTTGAAAATCAGGTCAATTAGCCATTAAAAGAGTGAGAAGTATATATAGTCAAAGTGCTTCTATGAAAATGACTTTGAGAAATGAAGTACACTATGAATTGTAAATGAATGAATCACTTTCATGAGAACGTTCAATTGAAGATTTTGTTCAAGTGTTCAGTTAATATTATGCCTGCTGAAGAATGTTTTTGAAAGATATAAACTATTTCCTGAATTTCATTTTGAAATCGTTTAGTTTAATGGAAGGTTGAATAATTGGATATCAATGGTGAGAAAATGCATTCAAAAAACTAGGTGAATGACAACACATTACATTTGTTCAAATCTCATTGTATATCATCAGTTGGTAAACTTGATTTGGCTTTGCATCAAACCACCCTTTTCAGAATTATCACTCAAGGTTACTCTACATTGATAACTAAATAAAAAAACCACAATGCTTCTTCTCACTAGTGTTATTTGGTGCATTTCAATCACACTCCAGAGAGTTAAAATTTAGTACATCCTCCTTGAGGTAGCACACACCTTACATTGAAAATGCAAGAGATTCCCAGAAATAACCTCACAATTAAATCCCCCCCCCCAAGTTATATTATATTGAACGAGAATACATACATACATACACAAATACATACAATATAATCATACTCACACGCTCACAATGCTTTATACCCGAAGCAGCTCATGAGGAAGGCTTGAATGACGGGTGGATGGGAACGGGAAGGGATTAGGACGGGGCAGCTTTGACGGGTCCGGAGCCAGGCCCGGGGAATAACGGGCTGCCCGCATTGATATGGTTTCAAAATAAACTGCGACTCAGTTGAAAATGAAACGCTAGGGCATCGAATTTCTTACTTAGCGGGCTGGGGGGCAGCTAGAGAGTCCAACTTCCGGTTCCTTCGTCGTTTTCCTTTGTTTTGTTTTGTTTTTTTCTTTTCTTTTCTCCATTTTTGTTTTTTTGGGGGACTTGGTTTCGAATTTGCAGTAGCCTTGTACATACCACGCATACAACAAGTCTACTCTATCGCTATTCGATGCTACGCAAGTTATTTTATTTTTGGCTATGGCGGATCATGTGCGAAGCCGTTCATAAATAGGTTAGTTTGACGTCTGCTAAATCATTGGTGGCTCACGTTGCCGCTCGGTGGCCGGAGGTTGTCTGGGGTATCAATGGTATCGTGTGTTGGAGGTCACTGCGGTGGTAAGTTTTTTGTGTTTTGGAGAAGGGCCGCGGGCATGTTTGGCCATCGTTGTTTTGTTTCAGTGGCTGCGTGGCGGAGGAGTGGTCCAGTAACGGTGGTTAGAGGTTCAGTTTCGCTGAGTTACGGGTTCTCTTGATGTTGCTTGTCTGTGAAGTGCAACCGACGAGCGCCGGACAGCGAACGAGGCGTTCAGAGTTGTCTTTTGAGGTTTTTTGATGCGGTATTTGTGATTGTTTAAGGACTCTTAGTCTGCGATTGGCGATGGCTCATTTAGAAAATCAACCTACTTGAGGTTCTGCATGCTTGGTGTCAGGGTTGTCATGACCAGCTTCCACATATTGTATTCAACTAATGATCTTTTGTGAGAGTTCGTGAGTGCTTGACATGGTTCTGCGCGATCCTCTCAATCAGGCTGCCGAGGGCAGTACGGAGTAGTTGCGTGTTGTTGTGTCGTATGCTACAACATGATACATCTCTCACTGAGTAGACGCATTAAGTGCGTTGATGAGCTAGCTGGAACTGACGTAAGTAACAATGACATATTGCTGTCATTTTGCGATGTTTTACAATGCAGGAGCATAAAATTGTGAGCTCAAATAGTGTTTGGCACTTTGTATCACTGAAGCCAGATGATTTGAACAATGTCATTATCATACATAGACTGTAGAAACACCTGAAGCTATTGATCTCTACTTTGTTGTAACCGATCTTTATGGAAAGTGCACGAAAATGTGTATGCTGTGATCGCACGATTGGTGACATCAGTAACTTGAGGTGTTTCTACAGGCTACTTATGCTTGATGATTATCTTAGGAGAGTAGGTAAATGATCATCTGCTACTGCAATAGGTCCATTCAGCTCTAATGGACCATTGATCCTAACAGTGCGTTGTCGACTCATAAGGTACGTCTTACATTAGTCGGTAACCACAGCACACCTCAAATTCTTAGATCATTTGAAACATCACCTGTAAATTGACGACGCTTCTGGTGAAGCTTGGAACAATAATTTGGTATGTTTTAGAGAGGAAGGCGGAATGAAGAAGGGGAAGTCGATCGCTACTTTGATGCAACAGACACCATCAAACCTCAACGACTTGACGCTGCGACAGACAAGCAAGTAGAGCATACGTTTCGACGGAATGCTCTCCTCCTTGAATTTTGAAGTGGCGACAGCGCACATGCCAGTCCAAACCACTCTCGAAGGGTTATACCAGTCAGTCAGGAGCGTGTGCTTGTCTAGTGTACTATTCTGCTGATTCCTAGGTTCTTACATGTCTCCTAATCGTGCCCTTAGTAGTGGCTTCTTTTAATAGGATTGTCATTGTAGCACTAATTGTAGTATAAGTACTCAATTTGCAGTTCAAATGTAGGTGTTATGAGGGTCTTCTATTCGGTCAATATCAGCTGAGTCAATGCTTAGGATTTAGAAAACGACCATTTGCAGCGACCAGTTTTGTGCATGATCGCGACCACTCAAGTGAAAGCGGATGTGGTTGTTATGAACGGCACGATGTAAGAATCAAGTGTACGAAACGTTATTACACAAAAACGCATTGCAATTCAAACTGAGTACATTTCCTGATCATGCAAGACCAGTCGCAATCAAACTTCCCGTGCATGCCCTGTGGATGGTCTGATTAAACTGCCACAGTTGTGCCGCCTGGATCGTGGTTTCAACATGCTCAGTATCTCAATAAACAAAATATTGGCGAAAAGTGTGATAGTAGCTCTCGAAAGCAAGTTCTGTACCGGGTGTGGTAGCCGCATAAACAAGACTCCAGGCCTGGGAATCAGTTGAAGGTAAAACTATCGACAATGCCTGAGCAGTAATGATTCGAACATCAACCTTTTATTCACAGTTTTGTGCTATATTTAGAGGATCAGTTGACTAACCTGATGTTATTATTGGGATTTAGGACAGTGCATGTCTGGCGCATAAACGTGAGTTGCGAAGATGGTAACTCCAAGTTGAAATAGGTGGAAACGATAAATTAGACATGCCTGGAGTTCGCCGAGCTGACTCGAAGTTCACCCTGTTTACATTCTTCGTTCACCTTCTTTCCTCATTCCTGACGGACTTGCGTTGGAATCTGTCAGCAGGTAGTGCGGACCTTCTATTTCATAACTTGCAGCTGCTTTTGCTTTACGGTTGTGTGTGATCGGCGCCTCTCTGGGTGGAGTTGATCTGTTGCATTGATTTATAAGGATTATGCACAATTTTTGATACAGTGGTGGGTTTGACACTTCCACTCTCTAACCGCTCAACGGATTCATCGAATTGATTTCTTGATTGCCAGCGTTATGCAATCTTGCTCGACTCAAGGTTGTTGCATTCTCATATCAGTCCTTCACACTCTGCATACTCTACCGTTGGTGCAACTGTGATCGGGCTACTGGAACGTTTCCAGACACAAAAAGAGAAACTGTGTGCTTTATCTTACTAAAACATTGAGTCTGCTGCGCAGATGGCCTTCACATTAGGGTAAAGTTGTTTTTGTTTGGTAGATAGTAAGACTGTCTGGGTCGATGTTCCCTGCTCTATGTACTGGCGTACACGCCGTTTTGGTAGTACCGTCGTGCGATTGGATTAGTCTAGTGCTTTTACGAACTTTTACCACTGCTGTTACACTTGGAGTGTAGTTTTTCAACGAAGGTGTTTTTCTCGAAGACAACTGTGTAGGAGGTAAATATGATACATAACTAATGCGACAAATAGTATGTGCTCGTCTGTTTGAAATACCCACTTATGGAGCTATCAGCTGACTCATTCATTTCGGAATGGCGTTGGCTCAACGTTGGAGACAACATAAGTGTTTGAAACACCTGTTTCAACCTACAATCAAAGGATGACTTAGTCCTACATGACGTAATAGTTTGTGTGAAGTACTTCCTGCACTTCGCAACTTGCTACACGGACTGTTGTAGTGACATTCTGTTATTGAAGCGCACTTGATAACCGAGTCAAGAAAGAGACGATGATGTCCGTAACATTCTTGAGAAACCCCTCTGATTACCCTTGACTTTGCACACTCTTTACTTTGCAGCACCAGAATCTCTGCATACTCTTTTGTAGCCTTTTAGAGCTCGACTGGAGAAAGTTGAGATCCTTCCAAGCCAATGACTCTTCAAGGCCGTCACTGGTGAGAGTGTGTTTTCACAGCTTCGATTCTCTTTCATTTGCTTGCTGGGGGTGCTTTTCCTTAGAATGTTGTCATTCCTATTAATTCAGCAATAAACATTCAGATCGATCATTTTTGAGACCGTTCTGATTCATAGTGTAAGCAAATGTCATCATCATAGAAGTAAAATGATAAAATGGCTCATGTGTGATTTTTATCTCGGACGTACCCGTGGCAAGTCATCTAATTATGACTCCCAAAGCTGCAACTTATTGGCGGTGAGGATTTGCTCATGTATTTACTTTTTTCTTTCTTTTAAACTGCAATGGTAACGTAATTTAACGTAGAAAAATGGTTTCATGATACAAGTTTGGATGGCTAGGAGTCTAGAAACTTCGATTAGATGTAAGCTGGATGCACGACAGAATCTAGCCATCAGGGCCAAGCAAGTGGTGGTTTTGCAATGTAGGTCAGCAAATAATACGCCGTGTCAGTTGTAACAGCATGTTCTGCTACGTCGGGGAAAGCCTGAGACACTGTACCATCACAAATCGCGTCGGTGAATTTGTCAAGGGAAACGTAATGTTGGTCTGGCGAGCTCCCTCACAATAACATTATTAACGGCCACGATCTGTCAGGACGATCATCTAAGTACACTACTTGCTTTTTATTGACGATAGAGTATTACTGTGGGACTTAACGACAGTAATGCTGCCAATTATCATCATTGTTGTTTTTAGCTTGCAAACTTACAGTAACACTGCTAATTATCTTCATTCACATTACTAATTGGTTTAATGACAGTAGTACTGAAATTATTAGCATTGCATGTGTAGTAATAATTCTGACTGTTATGTCTTCCAGTATGTATGTAACGTCACCTCCTGTCTGACTAATAGCACGATCTTCCATATGCCTAGCGAGAGACATAATTCAGAATTCCTATACTAATCAGGGCGTACTTCATGTCGCTAGAGTCGTGTCAAAATGTATTTGCAAAGTCGAATTTGGAAAAGGATGGGAGTTGCTTTCACATGCACAACACACGCAGCTACGTACCGGTTTCATTTTATTTTATTTTCTGCCTCTTTCTTTCTCAGAAGCATACTCGAAGTTCCATTAACGAGTCAGCCACTTTGGTTGTAGTTGGAACAAGCGTCATTGTCCACAGCTACACTGTAATAGTGCTGACTTTGAACAGTAAAATAGAGATCCTGATAAGTGATTTCTGAAAAGTCGAGAGCAGAGACCACTAGAAATTGGTGCAGTTGATCAAAACCAGCAGTTTTTTCTCAGCTTTTTGTCATCAAAGGTTTGATGGCCAGCAAACGCTCAGGTATACATTCTGAAACTAGCAAGAACCATCTTCTTCTTTTTTATTATTTTAAATCACATTTCAATTTAAGAGTAATACATTTTTCGTAGACTTTCTGTGGGAATACGAACTATATGTTACATGAAATGACCAGCATGTGCTATCATTTGCGACAGATGATCGTAGCCAATGTACTAAGAAGAGAAATGAAATATATAGAAAAGAAAAGAGAAAAGAAAAAAACCTTGGAAAAGGCATTCATCAGTCCAAAGGTGGGGGTAATGCTCCACAATCAAATTTACTGCTCCCCAGTACAACAGAAGCGCGGAAGATTATTGGCAAGGCAAAGTTGTCCCTGACGAAGCAGATTACACTAGAATCCCAAGCTAACGCAGAACCGAAAACGAACGACTTCACAGTAAGCCTAAAGGTTCGAGCCCATCTCTCATTCTCGTAGTCCCTCAAAGCAGTTGCAATTTTACGCGATAACACACTAGGGTCTTCATCCTTACCACCCCTTAGAGCATCACAAAGCTTACGAGTCAGTACCACAGAGTCTTCTAACGAAGTGCAACCACCCTGGCCGAGATTTGGAGTCATGGGATGGGCAGCGTCCCCAGCCAAGGTGATCCCATTCGAGGCTTCTTGAGCAGTCACAAGGGGAATTGACCACCGGTCTCTCAGATTGCTGCGGTTAAAGCTCTCTGGAGGAGTATTGCAGATGCACTCTAAGATATCACTTGGCCAGCCTTCCATGTACCGTAGGGCTTCTTCCTTGATTTTGTTCGGGTCAGTGATTCTTGAAGGAACTGCATTTCAATCAGTGAGTTTCTCATTTAAGACAACTACACCCATTTATACTCGCGGAAGATCAAAATACAAGATTAGAACGGACTTCAGGTTAGGTGCATGACAAGTTTTTGTACCTTCTCATCAAACATCTTTATCAAAGCATGTTGGATGCAAGTGCAACTCCGCACTTGTGCAGGGCTATTAGGTCTAGGAAACTGAAATGGCTAATTGGACAAACAGTGTATTCGTCAAGGATGCAAGAGCATCTTCTAGTCTAAGTTTTTATTGAAACCAGACGGATCATCGTTGCACAGCAACTGATTATGTCATGAAATACGAAAAAAAACTCCACCCTGACCACTGGTAGGTGGTAGGGCAGTCATTCTTTGCAAGTCATAGCATACCTGACGATGCCCTTAATATGGATGCAAGAATTAACCAACGTAAACTGAAACTATTAGTGGGTTAAGTTGAGAAACGAACGTAGAAAAGGCGTAGTTAGTTACCTGAGGCTGTAGTGTTGAACAGGATAAACCAATACACTTTATACTGCGTCACTGGAACCAAGCCTGCTCTCACGCCTTGGCCAATTATCTGTTCCACCCTAGACTGAAACTGATGTCCAGAGTTGAACTCAGCGAGTCCCCTAATGGCTGTTTGTCCAACAGCTCGGGGTTCAGACAGGCCCATCCATTGAGCTACTACCGAACGAGCCCCGTCACAACCAACCAAGACCTAGAACCATTACGATTAGACCTTAAATTAGAATGGGATCACTGCATTATTATCAGACTTGATGCTTCTATGAACGGATCTCTTGGAGGATTGCAAGGCTGATATCTTCTACTTCGTTTCAAGTACTACAGGACTTTCGTGTTCCCTACCTTTGTCTTGATAACGTTGCCATTTTCGAGCTCCACTTCGGTGGGAGATTGCATGTCACGAGGTTTGCGGATAGATTTAACTCGAGAGTTGAACATTATGGTATCACTAGGGAGCGCCTGGTTAAGAGCCTTGAGTAAAGCCTGCCTCTCAACTGCTCGCACCTCATACGGCCTGTTGGCAGACAATAACAGGTTATAGAGCATCCATGAGAGTGCAGAATTTTTTTGAAGGGCTTCCTCTCTATAATATCTAAAGCTTTGACTGAAATGTTTGTATATTTGACAGTCATTGAGGAAAGTTCGTTATACATCACTGTTATGAACTCTACCCACGTCATTAGTCAGTTACTCACCCTCCAGGACAGTCAGAATTTTCGAATTCTTTGATAACTTTTCCATCGTTCGACCGCATTCTTCCTCTGCAAAAACAAGCTACGATCTATAATTACTGGTCAAAAGCTGATTCTGTTTGAAATAGTGTGATTACGGAAATCAGCCGGTGGGATGAGCTCACAAATCAGGAACAAAACCAACCTTGGTATGGAGAGTACGAGCAATGAAAATAAACAGCATTCTGCGACATTTTAAGAAGGATTGTAGCGCAATTTCAGCATTTCAGAACCAACTGGAGGTATCTGACATTGTACTAAACTAAGAAGGAAGATTCAGACATTTTCTAAATTAGGATAGAAACAGTTTAATCGACTTTGAAGTAAGTGTGAGGAAATACCCTGTAATGTTGGTGAACGAACCTCGAAGCTCATCTGCAATGCCTAATGTATCAAGTGCTCGCCACGCGTTGGGGAAGAGAGTGAGGGAGGTACCCTCTGCGCGCAAGTTTCCTGATTGCTCCAAGACCAACGCCTTTACTCCCACTCTATGCACATTCATTTGACAATTAGGTCCAATTGAAATAGGTCTTAATTTTTTTTCCCAGGTTCACTTTTCTGATACCATGGGTGGTTTTACCAATTTTTTTTGTGGGACACAGGAGTGGCAAAAAACTTCAGCGTGTACGCGAAAGTATTTTAGGGCAAGGACGGGCCCTACAACACCATGACAACACAGTAAGCTCCACAGATAAACATTTGAACCACTATCCAAAAAGCACGGCCAAAATGGTCAATAACGTACAAAATCATGTTGGAGCAAAATATTGCAAAATGTAAAAAGTCAAGTAATTTTATAGTCAATCCTCTAGTTGCTCTGTCCAATTTCTGAAATCATAGTACACAACTCATAAAACAATTTTCAATTTCCCACCGATAATATTACTACAGTTCTCTAAATATGCCTCACCACTATGTACACATTCACCTGAAATTCTGCATCTCAAAGACAGAATTTAGGCATAGACGATTGCCCAAGTTTTGACAGTAATCCTACGGTATCAGCGTGGTCAAATCTTCTCAATGCTAGTAGTCCCTCTATCTTTCCCATATGCAGCACTCCAAGCAACGAAGGCCTTGAAAAGTGTTTGAAACTTGAAAAGCAAGCTCGGGAATAATCAGAGCATGCTTCAACGACCCATTATTCCCTTCTGCTTCTATTGAACAAAAGCTCAAAGACATTTTGACTACTTTGAAGCTTATGATAATAACGAAAAGCAGAAACAGAAACACAAAGGCAAACTCACTTCCTCACGACAACGTTTATCAAGCCAATTGGATATCCATAGTCCCTCCACACACTGTAATTCATGACTCTAAAATCGCTCTCTGCAATCGCAATTAAATCATATGAAGCATACCTGTGTAAAGCCAAGGCAGTGGCGAGCCCAGCGAGCCCCGCACCCACGACCACCACAGTCTGCACATCGTTCTCCCTGGGTGCACTATGCTTACTCTTTTCTTCCAATTGAGCTCCACCCACCATGCTCATCACCTTCCTCCCTCCAATTCCCACCTTAACATTTCTACACAACCCTCTTCTCCTGTTTACACTGACATTACGAAATGGCAGGAACAAAGACCCATGATCAGCTCCATTTCGGTGCGAAGCGGGGAATGAGCGACACACAGTCATTGGCGCTACACATTGTTGTCTAGTAATCGGGCAAGTATAGGCAGATATCGGCGACGTCATGGCGGAATAAAAAGAACAAACCGCCATCACCACTCAACCCAACCTTTGCACGCTTCTCTCTGAACTCAACAGGAAAGCCTGTACACAACGAAACAGCAATAGACTCTTCAGAGAATGAAAACAAACTAACACTCAATTCTCCACATCGTTGCAGATACACCAACGCAGGACCAAACCTTGAAAGTCAGCCACTCATGGAAAAAGAAGATGGCGAAGAACCAAATCGGGACAAATTCTGCTAAAATCGTGGTATCCACGTTGCAAATTCTTGTCTTGCAAATGAAATCGGATGGTTCCGGGCATCGCAATCCGGCGATGAATCTCCTCCTCCTCCGAGGGAGAGGGTATGCATCAGAATTTGAGGCAGGCAGTTCGCCAGGTCGAGACACCGCCTCTTGTTGCATCCCATCACTTTTGCCAGCCAGCTAGCCTTCGGTCCATCATAAGATCCCTCGTTTCTGAAGACATTTGCTAATCCTTGATCACTTCTTTCTATCTTTATTTCTTTCTTGCATCTTGCCTTTCCATGCTGTTTGTAGATTTTCCATGCTTGAGTTTTATTGCTCTGGTTGAGACAATTCCTATTCTATTAGTGCTTTATGTTCGTATTTGCAAAAGTTTGTTTGTTTGTTTGTTGATTGGAGCAATCTGAACAAAAGTTTTATGAGAATCACAAAGAATCAAATTCATCACCTTTTTTTCGTGAAAATGTATAATGTGGGTGAAATTTTAAGATTTGAGATTATTTTTGATTAAAACATAATATGGTTTTGATCATTTAAAGAAAGATTGTAAGTTATGAATTGATATACAATTTGTATGGATATTGATTCTTGATGATTTGTGCTTGTTTTTGTTTATTTGTAAATTTACAACCAGTAAGTTTAAAGGCACTCTTTTTATATTCATGTGTTACTTCCTAGCTTTGGTTCTTGTAGAGAGGATTACAATGATAAGAAGGGCAAACTTGGCGATGAAGACAAAAAATTAAAAAAAATTAAAAAGGGTGTTTTGTCCATTTTTTATTTAAGAGCTTCTACTGGCAAGACTCAAATTTAGATTCTATAGGTGAGAGTCGAGTATCCTAATCTTGAAATCTCTATTGGAGTTAAATCAAAACACAAAGGTATGTGACATGAGTGCTTAGATACATGTCATATTGTTAATGGCCAAGTGAAAAGGCTTAGGGCCATGATGTGGATACTTTTGCTATGTGCAAACATCGTCTATCATGACATTTATTACATAACCTATGCTTGTAAAATCAAATCTAATAAATTATTAATTACATATTGTACCTATCTTATCGTTGGAATTTTATTTATTATTAGGAGTATATTTTGCTGAGATTGAAGTAGTTCCATCTTTTAGCCATCCAAGAGCAAAAGTTATCACCTTGGAAGTGTTGTCTTGTAGCAACATAGATTTTCAATATTATAACATTGCCTTAGAACTATGTTCTTTGTCTAATTGATTCCACTAATATGTGGAGATCTTTTGGTTTGTAAGGAACAACATCAAATTGCCATTGTTTTTCTTTGATAATTAATTGTTGTCATTGTCTTATGTATGGAAAGACTAGAAGTTACCTTATAAACTCTTGTTCTATCTCTACAAGTGTATCTTCTACCTCATATTCTAATTTCGAGTCAATTAAGTACATTGAGATTTAGTCTTTAAAGTATATATTTGAAGATGTTAGTACTATAAGCTAATTGATATAAATTTCCTACTTCACTTTCTCAAATAAAGAGTCTATTGCTAGTAATAGCTTCCTGCTATTTGTAATTGCATCCGTGAACCCATTTGATTCATTAGACTTGAGAATAGAAATAAGAGCTATTATCAAGGACATGAACCTTGAAGAAAGAAAATCCTCAATATACTCTTCTATCACTGAAGAGAATTAGAAAGTCACTCAAAAGGTGATGTAATATTAACTAGAATGGCTATTGCCAAAAATAAAAAAGACTAGAAAGTCTTGAAACAAGACTAAGACTAGAAAGGCATTGACAAGAATGAAGAAGGCTTCATTCTTGCCTCTATATATACTATCTAACTAAGAGCTACGTGGCGATGTCCTATAGGACCTCCAACATGTGTTGACTTTGCTAGCTACATGTCTTATCTTGCAAGACAAGTTATCTATGTATGTGCCACGTAGTTGGCTTGTTTTACAAGCTACTACACGAAAATAACTTATTTCACAAGCTACCAATACATGGTTAATTTTTTGGCCAAGTTTTTAACCTACAAACACATCTAAAGTCAAAACTGCGTCTATGAAGCTTCTAGAAAGCTTTTCTAGAAGACTTTATGAAATTATTATATATTTACATACTTCTACTTAATTGAGGTAAATATATATATATCTGTGATATTACCCCGCCTTCTAGGGACAAGTTCCACGAGGAGCAATCTTCATATGTTAAGGAAGTCCAAGATGCGACAAATTGTATTTACTATATACTCCAATCTTTGCTCTCTTTGAAGATGGTTGATAGGTCCTCTCAACCATCTATAGTGTCCCATATCAGGGCAAAAAAACCACCTTTTTATTTGGTCATTGTTGAGGCTGTCATAACTTCCTTCAAATAAAATATTTGGAACACCGTCAGGAGTTGTTCCTACCTCTAATAAAATCACTAAACATCGGGAGTCTCTTCCAAGGTTGTGATATCAAACACATTGTATCTCGCCATCTATTCAAGGAAGGACATGTTGTTCTTGAGGATCTTCATCTCGATTTCGTTATCTTGAAGATTGTGACAATCACAATGTCTTGTCTAATAAGTCTGCAAATGAAAGCTCTTGAGTTGAATCTGTTGATTGTTGGTATTCCATATCATCACAAATACATAGAAGCTACAATAAAAGATAGAAGGTAGAATGTTATTTTCCTTTGATCTTGTTTCTTTTATAGCAAAGGTTTGCTATTTTTTATCTTGATTTTGATGGATGTCGTTGATGAAAGTCTTCAACTTTCTTTGCTGTATTTACAAGATTCTTTGATGGCTCCCATGTGCGTTCACTGATATCATATCTACGCCAATGAATAAGACATTCCAACCTATTTCGGCGCCACCTTGAGTCTAAGACTTCTTCTACTTCAAAATCTTGGTTATTATCCACTTCTATAGGAGGAGGTGGCATTTGTCTTCTTTCGAAGCTTTTCACTGTCTTATACAGCTGCAGAAGAAACACATGAAATATGGAGTGGATTGTCATAGACTCCGGTAGATGTAATCAATAGGCAACATGATTGATTTATTCACCAATAGAAAAAGGTCACAGCCTATGATAATCTAATTTATCACAAAGACAAGTAGTGTTGATATTACAACAAAGTAACCATACCTTGTCATCCATATGTCACGGACATAAACATGTAAGCTAATAATTACATGTATAAATAGGTAGAAGTAAGTAAAAGTACATAAAAGTAAGTTAATTCTATAGTATTTGATATGAAAGCTTTCTAGAAGCTTTGTAGATATTCCTTTGATTTTATAGGTGTCTTTAATTAACTTTTTTGGATTAGAAACGTAATCAATAAGTTGGCCATGTGCCACACATATTGTTAGCTTGAAGATCAAACTAACTATGTGGCCCACACATAGAAAAATTTACCTTATAAGTCAAGGCATGTGTCCTATAAAGTCAACACATATTGGAGGTCCTATAGAATGTTGCCATGTAGTCCCTAGTTAGATAGTATATATAGAGATAAGAGTGAAGCCCTCTTCACTCTTGTCAACTCCTTTCTTCCTTCCAGTCTAGTTTCAAGGATCTTTAGTTTTCTTATCTTTTGGTAATAGCCATTCTAGTTTCTTTTTTAATATACTTATCAAGTTATTTCTATTTTTTCATCTTTCTTTGAAAGAAGTCTCACTTATTTATTTGTCTTTATTATGTTCTTATCCTTGACAGAATAACAAGAGTACACTTACAATATCAGAGCTTTTTTTCATCTTGATTAAAAGTGAATTACCCTTTTTTCTTGATAAGACATAAGCATATTAGAAGTTGCTGATTATCCTCTTCTAAACTGATATTGTCCTTAATATTTTCTTTGTTCATAAGTCTTCTCTTCTATTTTTCTTGAGCGATATTACACATCTTCTCTTTTTTAAGTGTTATCATGGCAGAACTTGTTGAAATGAAGAGTATAATGGCATAAATGCAAGAGCAATTGAAAAAGTTAATGCTTGCAATACATCAACTCAATTTATTACCACAAGGTGCAACAAGATTAGCAGGAAGTGAAGATATAGAAATGATTGGAGCTGCTTCAACATCTGCACCAAATCATGTCCTTCATCCTAAGGTGGAACGCCCTTCCAGTGTTAGAGAACCAAGAATTATCCTACCCGAGAAGTTTGATGGCACCAGATCAAAGTTTAGAGGATTTATCAATCAAGTACAATTTGTGATTGAACTTCAACCTCAAAGCTATCCAAGTCCAAGTTCGCAAGTTAGATTCATTGATAAGTTTTTTTCAGGTTCAAAATTATCATGGTTTTTCATCTTTTTTTGAACAACGAGATCTAATATTGGATAATCTAGAGGCTTTTTTGGCAGAGTTTTGATCCATGTATGGAGAACATGATGCAATTCGTGTTGCAACCAATAAGATCCATATTTTACGACAAGATAATCGATCAGTAACGATGTATGCTTCACAATTTTGACAACTTGCAACTGATATCAAGTGGGATGATATTGCACTTATTAGCCAATTTCTCTATGGATTAGAATATGAGGTAAAAAAATTAATGCTCAACTTACTTGATCCTCAAACATTGAGTCAAGAAATTGACTTTGTTGTGAAGTACGACAATTACTTTTTTTAATTCTCATCTGAGAACCGTACAAGTGGACCGCAACGTTGTCAAATTACGTGCTTTCCTACTCGAGAACGTGCCGGGCGTCTAGCTGTAGAAGGTAGTATGGAGATTTGCCAATAGTCTAGCAGTCTATCAGTTTTTGAGTGCTGGAATATAAACGTCTGCAAGAATACACCGTAAATCTATACAGATGCCCTTCGACCGCTCGCCGAAGTCCTTTTTGTCCCAGCCGGTAGGTCTCTAGATGTTACAAAGAACCCCGAACAATCCAAACTGTTAATCTTTGATACTGCTTTGTACTTACGATCTTGTATCCACTAACTGTCTTGTTAAATTTATCCAATAAATTTCATTCACTTCGCATACTCAATCCTATAGACACCCTTTTAATTCTTCAATCACAGACGTAACTCGATTTCACAAAACAGTCAAGAGTAATCAAACCCACTTCATTAAAAATCCCGATTCACCATTACAATACTGACTTCAGCAACGATTGCC